GCTGTTACCGGCCCTTCACATCTAACGGTGCGGCCGCCCTCCCCCGCCCCCGGGTTGGGCCGCTGCGGAGTTCGGGGCGGGGGTGTTGTGCCCGGCCCCGGGGCCTTGCTGTCATCCCCCAGGCTGCCGAGGCCATCCTTCCCCCCGAGGGCAAGCCGCCTTGTCCGAAACGCCGGGCCCTTCAGCCCTGCGAGGAGCCGCGGTGGCGGCCGGGGAGGGGGTGTTCTGCTTCCGCCCCGTCGCTGAGGTCGGCAACGCCGCCCAGCCGGCTGCAGGGGTTTGGGGGCTGCCTCAAAGGAGCAAAGCTGTGAAAGTTTAGGGAAGCCAGCGTGTAGTCTGCTGTGGCACTTTAATGTGCTTTCTGGAGTTTAAAGTATTATAATATCTTTTTTAAAAAACAAACAAACAAACAAACAAAAACCCTACCCCAACCTTAATCTGTAAGTTTGGTTATAGAATATGTCTTTTAAAATGATGATTTTTCGAAAATTTATGTAAAAACATAACTAACACTTCTTTTTCTTTTGAATGTCCTTAGTTTTACTGAAAAAAAAAAATTTTGAGACAAAGCTCTATGCAACTACTTTTTAAAGAAATAAACTTCAGTCTTCAGCGAGTATTGTAAGACTCATCTTTTTCCTCCTGATGGAGAGAGGGGAAGATTTGAAAGGAAAATAAATCAACTAGACATCATTCATTGTACCTAGGGGTGGACTTGTGCAACGCACAAGTCTCATTAAGTGGGTTTTTTTAAAGCTCGAGAGGTATGATTTTTGAGAGATGATTGAAATTGCCAAGTACGTGTGCAAAATAGGACGTATGCTAGTTAAATATGAGAAAAAATATAAAAGTTTGGTCTGTAATTCTCTTGCTTTTTGATGTTAATGTTAGAGTCCAGGAGCTGCATCTGTTTCTGCCAAGTGAAGATAGGGCCTACTGATTTCAAAGTAAAAAATGTTCATTTTGTTGCTCCTGTAAAATATAGGAAGAAATACAAGAAATTTTAGGTGATGAGAAAACTTGGAAAAATAAGTGGCTCCCCCTGCTGCTAATCGTTGAAGAGCAAATGTAGCTCAGTAAATGGTGAAAGCTAGTAATTGCCAAATATTTGTTTGTACATAATGACAACAAAAATTACAGTGATTTATCTGAAGATTTTTCAGCTTTTATTACATCAAGTCTATATTAGGTATTTGGAAACAAGCGTGGCATTATTTTGAAACAAATTAGAACATTGGCCAAATACCACAAAAACGTGCTCCTGACTGTAGCAAGACACACCAAAAACCACCAGAAAGGTCAGCCAACCGGCTGATTTTCTTTTGACAGTAACTTTGTGTCTGATGAAAAATCTTAGAGTGTGAAGCAAGAGCTGAATTCAGGCTGAATTCATCTGTTGTGCCACGATGCTGTGACCCATTTGTATCTCAGGGACTCTGAAGACCTTAAAATCACTTTTGTAAGAACAGCCACTCCTCCTTATGACCTCTGGTAGAGCTTAGCAGCAGCACAGGAGGAAAAAAAAAGAAACCCCACAGTGTTTGGAGCCAACGTAGTGCCTGATTTATGTTGAAAAAGAAGGGGTAATGCTTGGAATGCTATAGCAAGCAAGAGAGTCCAGGAGTTAAATTTGAACTTTGATCTTTTTACTAAAAGTTGACAAAAGTTATTAATTGTCAGGAAGTATGTGGGAGCTGTTGGGTTTTAGTACTTACTGGTAGATCTCATCTGTGTACATCTCAGTGATGAGTTTGACTGTGAGCGCCACAGCCAAAAAAAGAATTTGGATTAGATAACCAGATCTATATTATTAGGAAACTCAAGGTTGCTTGTTTTATTGCTGGTACTGCAAATCTCCCACCACATTCAGAGCCTGAGGCTGCTAGCAACCGGAGCAAAAGGCAGTCCCTGCTTAGACCTCGGATCACTTAGAATTCAATTACACCAAAGGGACATACAGAGCGTGAGTGAAAAATAATACAGGAGTACTTTTCCATGCGTGATCCTGTTGATATTTTTGGCAAGAGAAGGCTGTGTGCTGTAACTTGCAGTTGATGTTTATCTGTAAACTTGTTCAATGTACAATGTCTCTTGCTCATGTTATTCCCTTACTGGTTTTGTTCAGATTTCAAACATTTTGTTAGGTGGTCTGACTCTTAGAAAGTCTACAATATAGAATGCATAAGTGTGTGTATAAATGCATTTTTGCACAAATAAATTCACATATTATAATATTGCTAGACTTACCTTACAAGATGCATTCGTGTTAGCAAACTAAAAATATGCCAAATCAATCTGGGACTTGGAATTTTAACTCCCTCTTTTTGCTCTTCATTGAACCACTGGCATGAAAGTTTCCATCGAAGCTTGGATCCTACAAAATTGAATCACTCAGGCAGACCCCTAGATTCCTGTTCACCAGCATCCTAAATCATCCCATTTCATTCTGCCTGAAGGATTAGGAATGAGCAGAGGGTAGAAGGTTGTCCCTCCTTCTGCTATGAGAAATAAAGGATGCATTAGGAGCATTCAGTCAAGGTTAGCCTTCAGCTTTTAAGGTCAGGAAGCTGAAATGGTTCAGAGCTCTTGAACAGATTTAGTCAGCAAAGAAGAATGTTAAGGACTCCCGCTTGCTGGCAGATGTTTATGGAACTCCCGGAGTATTTAGCAGATGTTCATTATTTTGAAAGCTTGCATAAATAAAAAAGGTATTCCTTTTTGTAGTAAAATTAATATAACAAGGATCACTTAGAACTCAACTTAAGGAAGCAGAGCCAGGGCCTGTGTGAAGGAAGCTTGAAATGAAACGTAGGATACCAGCATACCTCATACCGGGGTGTGAGGGTGCACCTGGTAATGTGGTGATGCTACTGGGCTCAGGACAGAAAGAGCAAAAGTTTGCATAGAGCTTTTTAATATATTTTGCAAATGCAGTCATGTATTGATCATTAATGCCATTTACACAACTTGTGAGGAAAATGCAAAAGGAAAATGAGTTTTGGTACCTTTTTTTTTTTTTTTCCCCCTACATTTGACAAATGTATGGTCAGTAATCCCACATTTCTTGTTAAAAACTGCATATTTATTTATATCTTGCTAGTACAGTGGGGCTGTGATGTGGTTTGAATGAATTTGAAGGGATGAATTTGTGGCTTTTCTAAGGGAAAAGTGTTTTTTGCATGTGAAAGAACACATCTTTAGAGTGCCAAATCAATATATCCAAATAGCTTTATTAGAATGATACGTGGTTGGTTTGGGTTTTTTTGAACTCTGTGAATGAATTGGATGTGTTTACTTAATTCCCAAAAGACAATCTCTCATGTCCGAGGTACTTAATGTAATATAAATTTTTGTTCTTAATTATCTAGTAGATTATGTGAGGTCTTTTTCTTTGTTTCTTTGGCTTATGTATTATTATTATTTGTAAAAGTGTAATCATCTTTGTGATCTCTTCTGCTAAAGTTAGCAAATTCTGTGTTAGCAAATACTGATCGGGCTGTGGACACTAAACTTAGTGGTGTCATAGGGAGTGACTAGTGTTGATTACGGAATACATTATGATGAAAATTTCTGTAGGTGCCCTCAGCTGAGCAAAAATGTGACTGAAATCAGTAGGGCGAAGAAGGAGGAAATGGCATGGAAATATATAGGCAGAAAGGATAAATGGTGTAACAGGTGATAAATGAATAATGGCCTGAATAAATGGGTCTCATGTCCTAGGAAAATTGTTACTTGAAATAAATTTTTAGTGTTCAAATTTTAATTAATTCAACAAAATGAGAAGAGCTATGAATATAGTTGTGCAAGATGAGATCCTCGTCCCCACCTCCATGGCAGGACAGGAGGAATGCAAGGAACTTGGCGAGTTCTAAACTTGTTTAAAGAACCACAGATGACAGCCAGAAACTTGTGAAGTTCCTCTTGCAGGGTGCGAGGGGAGCCTGTTGTGAACAACGTATTCCCAATGTCTTCAGTAGGTGCTGCTGCTCTTAGGGAAACCCAGGAACAATGCTGCAGGTCAGACAGCTCTGAAGACTTGTCTGGATTATGTCAGAGACGCTCCTGCCTTCGGGACTGCCTGAAGTCAGAAGGCTCAAAGCTCTGTTGGGCTTTTCCTGAGTCATGAGTTCCTCTCTCACCTGCAAGGAAAGCATTCCTTCAGTTGGGTTTCTGACACTAGCTTCCATGAAGCAGGCGGAGTAAAGCCTATTGAGAAGACAAGCGCCAGATAATATAAAGTAGCAATTGCAAAACTATGTCTGTTGGTCTGTAATATCAGATAATACTGCAGATAAGTATTAATCGTATAGTTTATAGGTCACATTTCTCATGAAGAGAAATCTTTGGAAGTACTAGGAAGGCATTCTGGCAGTATCTTGAAATGCTGGGAAATTACAGTGAAATCACTGTTGCAGTACAGGTTGATAATTTTAAATTCCTTCTGGCTTTTTGTCAGCATGATAAAATATTTCAAAGTATTTTTAGGCATAGTCTCTGTGTTTGAAAAGTAGACCTAACTTTTACCCTTGCTAAAGGTTGTCCACAGTACTGGTCTGTATCTCACCAATATTAGAAACAGTTTTTTCAGCTGAGGCCAAAAGTACTATTTTTCTTTATTGTAGTTTTAAAAATGTTTCCGGGAATGTAATTGCACATTGAAAAAATGCCATAAACAGTTCAGTCTCTAGCCTTCTAACCAGACAGTTAAAAACTACTGAAAGTCATTAACACTAGGAAAGATGGTGTAAAACCTTGTTTGTCAGATAACACTGGATACCCGATCTCTCTCACAATCCTAAAACTGTTGCAATTTACATCAAAGCAGTGGCATAACTTTTTTATATTACATGTCACACCTACCTGTATGTCAAAATATAAATAATGTGCAGGACATTTACCTGAAGTTGTACATCTCTCTCGTATAAACAGATGACATTTATCGCTTCGTCACATCACAAAATCTTCCTAGAAGTTTTTGATTAAACTGATTTTCCATTGTTTTGCAGTCATCAAACTCTTTGAAGGCATCTTATGAAGACTGGCTGCTGACATACGGCTTGAGCATCTCTCCTTTCCACATGCGATGGCAAACAGCTGTCTTCAACCGCCAGTTCTACAACTGGGGGAGATGGAAACCCAGATTTCTGTATTTGTGGTATAAATTCAGGATTTTTTCTCTTCTGTCAAATACAGAGTTAACAACTTTACCACATCTGTGCCTTCCAGCCTTAAAAGTGCATTAGATAGATGTAGCTATTTCACTGGGCTAATGATAACACCAAACTAGCATGGTTGCGGTAATTGTACTGTGCCAGTATAAGTCTTTCTCCTCTACTAAAAAAATACATAGCTGTAATATAGGTTGCATATTGAGATGCTATAAAACTAGAAATCTCTTTTTACCTATGGTTTGAACCATACATAGTTCTTAAAAGTACAGCTATTGTACAGAGTACATGTAATACTGCATACAGAAGTAGGTCTGAAAGCAGCTTCTCATATCCTAGATCTGTCCATCACCATACAGTGAGCCTCTCCCCTGATCACTAGAGTTTACAAAGTATTCAAAGACAGTTGTGTCCCTGTTGTCAATCGTTGCCCAGACATTCAGCAACTATACACGCTCAGAAGTGCATTGCTCACCTTCTGTCTTTTATCTGCCGGCACCTTTCCCTGCTAAGATTGCACAGACTGTTGGGAATGGTAAATAAACAGGATGGTTTGTATGGGTGCTCCTGGACTGGTTTAGAAAATTACTGCTCAGTTGCCTTCCTAACATTACTTTATATCTGCTCTGAAAATACAAAATGAGTAAGGTTTGAATTTCTTTTCATTTCCTGTATTGCTACACTCAGTGAGGTAGTAATAAGAGAGGTCTGCTTAATATTGGCTTCTCTCCTATGTAATGATTTTACTATTTCAATTTGAAATAATTCTATATCCATCAGAATTTTTAATGTGTATAATTTATTACAGCACAATGTTTCCACCAGTCTCTTTAATTAACATTACAAGTACATGTTGCTTAAAATAAATCTACTAATTCCCAGTGAGCTTCATTAAGGATGGTAAGAGAACAGTTATGCTGTTGTGAGAGGAAGGACTGGTAGTGAATTGAAGCGTTTTAGCTAGAAAATAAACTTTATCACATCCTTCAACTATTGAACAGTGTAAAATAATAATAATAATGCTGAATAAAAATTCACCACGAGGTGGACTGACGTAAATTGAAATTATTTTCAACACTGATTTTAATGAAAAATAAATTGGTGAGAAGAACAATGTATTTTAAGTAAGTGATTTTAATCTGGTCTTGAAATTGTACCTTTCATTTGTTCTTCTTTAAAAAAGGTTGAGTCTCCTTTATTGTTCTTTAGCACATGGTATTGTTTGTGAGGAAGATGCAAAATTTATTGAAAAAGCTTGTATAAATAAATATGGATGCTACCCCATCATTTGATCTGTGTCTCTAAATATGTGATGGTGTGGTACAACATGGTAAATTATACATTGTTAGTTATGTTTTTATACTCATAGCTAATGGCAAGTTAGATGTATTGGGTAACAATAAAATTTAGAATGTTTAAGAACAACATAAAAATATTTGAAGATTAATCAGGATGCGGCTTGGGTGTAAAACATTTATTAAATAAGGGAAATATTGTATGTTATTAGTCAATGTTATTAGTATATGTTATTGTTGTAATTAGTTTCCTTTAGCTAATATTTTTGTACTGGATTGTTGATACACGAATGGTAGTAGGATCAGATGAGTTTTGCCCTATGAGTTTGGTGTGCTAAATTGCACTGAAGCAATTACATATCTGGAGAATATACTCTATCTTCTTGCAGCTATACATTGTTAAACTGTTTGCTTCTCTTTGTAGGTTTAGCGTAGGAATGGTGTTTGGTATAGTTGCCATGTTTGGCTCTGTTATTCTTCTTGGAAAGACACTGATGCAGACACTGACACAGATGCTCACGGAGGCACCGAACGCCCAGAATGATCGTATGCTGCAAGTTGTGGTAAGTGTTTTCTCTTCAGGTCTTTATTTGAGAGTTGTGAACTGATCTTAACTGCCTTTTAATGGGGTATGTGATGCTTAAATCCTCCCATGCAAGAATAACCTAACTCCTCATATTCATCTGTATAAAAATGTGCTGGTTTGTTATCAGCCTTAAAAATGGGAAGTAAAAGAGGGGAAGACAAATGAAGGCAAACGTGGAAAAGTTTATATTAAAAATTCTCAGGAGTGAGAATTGGCTAGTCATTTTGAAAAGCTTTAAATTATCATGGTAGTAAGAATACAAAACAGAGCTAAGAATTTGCCTCCTCTGAGCTGTGCAATGTAGAGGCACTGGTGGCCTTGAGGTTTGCAGAGCAAATCCATAGTCCACAAGAAGAGAGGAGTTCTATTTCATTTGTTACAAAACATCAGTGGAAAAGGAAAGAAGCATAAAGAGCTTTGTGTGATAGTGGAAGCAAAGATTCATTAGAGAGAAGATGGCATCTTTTGGTTGTTCAAGGACTTATGCCCTACAGTGTTTAATTGAAAGTTCTGTTCTGGCAGTATCTAGTGAAAGGCCTAATAACAATGCATTTAATTGTTTTATAGATTTCTGATGCTGGACAATATATTGTATGGTTTTAGAAAGGAATGTATTTCACAGAATGAGAGAGACTGCAAATACTGTCCTTTTTATCTACGTGAGGCAGTAATGGCAGAATTGACATTGCCCTTAAAACAATTTTAACCTCGAAGGGTTCCTAGCCACACTTACTTCCCCAAGAGCGCTATCTAGCCAGAATGTATGGTCATTTTCTGGAAGTGTAGAAAGTCCTATGACTGCATGGCTTAGAGCAGGGGTGCCCAACCATTTTACTCCATTTAAGTACTCAGCTAGTCTAGAGAATGGAAGTTGGGAATTGTGTGCTGCCACGATAGGCCTTCCCATCAATGCTAAATTGACAGCATGCAGTCAATTAAAAAATTGTATGAGTGCAGGAAGCCTGATTGTTAGCATGTGCCATAAACTCGATGCCTTTGGGATGGTTTGGGTCTGTTTCACACATGCAGGGTGAATATAGCAAATGCAGTATGTGTTGGCAAAAGCAGGGAACGAGACCTGGGAGAGAAGTGCTGGTACTGCCACTGCAGTCACTCGGTCTGCAGTCTGCTCCTGAATTATCTCCAAAAGCAGACAGGAGTAGGCAGTCTGTATGTCCAGTAGAGCACAAGTTGAGCATGAGACAGAAAATTTTTATTTAGGTGCCAACAGAATCTATCCTAATGTCTGTCTGTTACATTCTGGAGTAAGAAGAGTCTCCCTCACGTGTTCATTTTCTAGATGATCTCTCCACTTTTGTGACACCAGGGTAAAGTGGCCATTTGCAATACATTGCTCCTTTGAGAAAATAACGTAGAGGCAACCAAAGTAAAGATGAGCATTTGGAATTAATCTGGTGTGAACTGGAATTATGAAAGCAGAAGTCTAGGATAATGTTCACAATTTCCAATTGGAATTGATTCCTCAGTGGCTGCCTACTGGCAATATTGCTGCATTCAAACCAAGGACAGACTGGCACTGAAAAAGATGTAATTTATAGGGGTAATGTAATGTCATGGGGGGTGGGTGGGTAAGGCTACTTCTCTTAAGTTGACTTCTGGTTCTCTTTCTTTCCCACCTCATTCTTTAATTTCTGAATGGTCACAGTTGTATAATTATGCCTTTAAAGAGTTTCAGTATTCTTTTTGAGGGGAATGTGCTAGCATAAGTTAACATGAAAAAGTGACCTATGTGTGGTTGCAAAGAGGTGAAGAACAAGTCAGGAGAACCTGCTTGTCCTTTAAATTAGTTATTTGTATCTGACTGCCTGGAGGAGAGCGAGTTATTTAAAAAAAAAAACAGCAACTTTTTTTTTTTTAACTCAACTGTAGCCTGTGGCGTAAATCTGTTTAGCCTTTGGCTATGGAGAGAGGGAGATACAATTCTGCTTATGTTTTATTGATTGAGATTTTTGTACCCTTCCTCTTTTGTTCATTCATGCACTTTATTTAAAATACCTGTCTGTAGGTATCTGAGCTGTTTTTCTTTAGCTGCCCCCTCTTGTGTTGGTTGATTGTTGACAAAAGTGGGAAAGGGGCAGACCAGTTACTAGCAAAGGGTCTTCTTTTACTAAAGGCATTTCCAGAAGACCATAAAATATAAGATGACAATGCTTATTAACAAAATACTGCTATTGATTTCAGAATCCTTCATGAGGGTTAGCTTCCCTTGTAGGTGAATCTTAAACTAGCTGCTTTGCCATGAAGTCTGAAAGCATCCAGTGCTGTGTTCTAACACGCTATAGTCAGGGTGGTATTAAGATGGCAACTCTTGCTGTTGCTGTCTGTCCTCCCACGTGCCCAGAGCGGAGGGCCACTGGCAAGGCCAGTTAACTGGTGCATTAGTGCCACCAGCTGATACTGTTACACAAGCAATGGATGCTTAACAAATGAAGAGCAGCTGTCTTCATACACTGAGGTTCCATAGTCATGCCAGGTAAGATAAGTATCTTGGTCATGATCACATGCTGGACAGAATTTGTTAAGTGATTCAGTTTAACATTAATGAAAACAGTCTTTTGAAGGATTTATTTTAGCTGAATTGTCTCACCAACCTATTGTAGAGTTCTGCTGCATGGGTAGATGAATGCGTATAATCGAGGAATGTGCAGGACTGAATGCAGGTAGGATCAAATGGGATCTGTTCAGTTGGATCTTCAGCCTTTTGTGTCCCATAAGGGTAGTTTTTAGGGAGTACTGTGGACAGGCCAGGATTTTTTACCCATAGCATCTCTCTTCTGCCACTGGATTGCAATTCAGTTTGTGTTCACATCAGCTGTTAGTCACAGTACTGGAGTGTGCCCTGCCTTGAGCAGGGAGAGCTGTGGAGCAGAAAGGAGAACTGTCCCAGAGGAAGCAGCAGATGTGGCCCTATCTTCCCACTGCAGCGCGACCGCTGAGCAGGGACAACAGGAGCTGAGCAGGAGGAAAGTCCATCAGGAGGAAAGAAGGGATGGTTCCTCATTCCCTGACTCATGACTGCTTCCAGCCCATCTGGAAGGAGTGACTAGCGCAATGAAGGACTGGGGGAGTGGTGGGAATCCACAGCCACAGAGGAATGTGAGGGGCCTGCATATTATGTGTTATATAAATTCGAATAGCATACTCATTTCAAGTGCCTTTTTTTTAAAGGTTAAATTGCCATATGTGGACTGCCAAAACTTGAACCACAGACAAAGTTACCCTTATTTTGACCTTGTAAATTTGGTATAGTCACGTGATTTGCATAGGGAGAGGGAAGAGAGACTGACAGTTCCTATTGTAGGCTTAGTTTTTGAAGTTCTAGTGCTTATAATGTTTTAAGTGCCATACAATTTTTTTAATTTTTTTTTTTTTGAGGAGTGGATCTTCTCCATAGCTGCATAACTGGCTGCAGGAAGTTGTAAACTAATGCTCACAGTTGCCAAGCCTGTCTCATTTGAGTGGAAGTCTGTGTACATTTTTATAAACTTCTTGAGCTTAATATAGAGTAGGACACATTTGGTCAGGGCTGTGGGGAATAAGTAGGGCGGGGAGAAGGCTTTTGATCCTGAAGAGCTTTTCAACCTTTAACAAAAGAGTATATATTTAATATATTTCAAAATACATTGACCAAATTGGGAGGAGAGGTATGAACTGATAGAGCTGCATGAGAATGGCCCCCGTTCTGTTGCGGGTCTGAAGAAGCTGAGTGAAAACAGCAAGTTTTGGGGCACAATGACTTGTCTTTGTACCTCTTGATTTCCTCCTGTGTTTTGTTTTGTTGTCATGCCCACATCCACAGGTGCCTGGTGTAAATTTGCCTGTCAGCCAGCTGACCTATTTCTTCTCTGCAGTCCTCATCAGTGGTGTGATACATGAAGTCGGCCATGGGGTGGCAGCTATTCGGTAATACAAATTACTTTACTCGTAGTACGTGCCAACAAACCCTAATATTCCAGGGCATTTACTTCCAGGTGCATGTTGTTAGCACTGCTTCAGTTTATCTAGAGAGTCTGTTTATTCTGTATTTCATAGCTTCCTTCGATTTTAAGTTTAGAATTAAGGATAGAGTTCTAATACAGTGGTTTACAGATCGTGAGAAAGGACTTCTGCTTTGCAAATATACCACACTGCATCAGGTGTAAAATAATACTTCTTTTAAGGGCTTCAGTTTTTCAGACAACAATTGCTTTTCTGCAGCTGTGGCACTTGAAGAGTGCACTGTTGCACAATGCTACTCCAAAATAGATTATAAGTTGATTTGTTTAAACATAGCTTGTGAAGTAGCGTTCAAACAGGCTGAAGCAGTAACTCAGTCAAATGTGATTTGCTGCTTATGATCTCAGGGGTGTGTTAATTTTGGTCAAAGATTATGTTTTTAATGTCACTTAACTACGATGATTACTTCACAAAAACGTTATTTGACATGGTTAGTCATTACTGTTAAATGACACTCTAGCATAAGAGGCTTAAGTGCTTGTTACTGGGACTGATATGCAGGTGTCCTCCGCGTTTCTGCTGGACATCATCATTATCTGTCCCATAAGCATGAAGCCCTAAGTTGTTTCTCTGATTTTCTTGAGTGTAGGGAGTCATGACTGCATCTTGACCCATTGCTACCTTTTTCGTAATCCCCAAAGTTCTCAATTAAAGGGGTGGGTTTGGACCCTCAGTGTTTTCTGTTTTCTGATTGTCTTTCAGTTTTTTTCCCTTAGTATTCACAGGGATTTTTCTGTGGAGGATGAAGCTCTTGCTCTTGCTCATCCCACCACAGGAAGAAGCAAAAGAATTTCTTTTGTTTTACAGTGTCTTCACACGCTGCTGGCTAACTGCACAGAAGCCAGGAGTAACTCTAGAGCTCTTTTAAAGCAGAACAAGTCATTTTTGTACCTTAGTGGTGTGATATCTTCATTCAAGATCTGGGCTCTGAATATTCAAATTGGGGTTAGTTTTTTTGTCAAAAAATTGATTCCCAGCTGTTTCCAGGGGAAAAAGTAGATTGTCCAATGTACATTGCTGTTACTGCTGCTGTTTTCTGCTTGACTTTTTTTTTTCCCCTTCTAGCACAGGTTGGGTCTCTAGTGCTGTTATGGTGAATCCTCAGGGTTTAGGCTTTACTAAATAGCTGTGCTGTGAACAAATTTTATTATTCTGGCAAATCACTTTGACTTCCTGAAATCTAATACACTTTCACCAAATTCAGTTCAAGATAGTATTGGCTGTGAACTACAAGAGCTTAAAATATTTGAGCCTTAGCTTAGTCAAGGCTTGTGCCAAAAAAGCCTTTTTCTTTTTCCCTCTGTACCTCCTACCCAAGTCATGAAATCATGTATAGGCATTAGACTGCCTATTACTAATAGGTAGCATGGGTAGGTCTGATGAGTTAATTCCAGGGAATTACTGTATTACTTCATTCTGATTAATTTTGTATAATTCTGTGTCTTCTTTTATTGTATATGCACACTAAATGTGAGTAAATAAAATGCTATGCCCAGTGTACTGTCTCAGTAAAGATATGGGATTAGCTCATCCATGCCTGGTTTGTCACGGAACATGATTGTCTTGGAATAATAATTAGAATGTAATTGTCTTGGAACATGATTGTCATGCCTCTGTAAGTTCCTTACGAAATGTCTAGCTTCATAAAACCTTTACGTAATTATTCCAAAAAGTGCCATTTAAAAGCAATTGTAAAACATCTGAAAAAAAATATATAGTGTCAGCTACTAATATGTTTAAATAGCATTTGTCCTTTTAACCTCTTAACTTGTTTTCATTTTTTTCAGATGACATTTCCCTCATTTTCCTTAGTTTACAATTTACTCTAAATTTCATTTAGGAGAAAAAAAGAAATGATAAATTCCAGAAATCTGTAAGTGTTTCTTTAAAAATGAAAGTGATTGCTTCTTCCAGATAATTTTTCATAGATTATTTTGAAACTGCATCCTACAGGCTGCCATTTTTTTAGTGAAAAGAAAAAATCCCCCAAATGTTAACATATACATTAACTTGAAAGTAGGGTGTTTTTTTAAAGTTTTTTGTGTTACTATTACCAGGAGACAGAAAAGAAGTTGAACTTTTTATGAGGCTCACAAATGTGCGCTGCTTAAAAGTGGCAACTACTGCAGAAAACATCCTTTAGTTTAATTATCTTTCAGTTATTGCTATTATGAAAAGTAAGTTAGTTTTCTAATTATAATTTTAGTTATCCTTGTTGTCAAAAATATGTGTGCTATGTGGAATCTCTGGTTTTCATGTGTTTGTTTGCAGTAACACCACTTCATTTTTCTTTTCTTCTTTTTAAGAGAACAAGTACGATTTAATGGATTTGGGATTTTTATCTTCATTATCTATCCTGGAGCATTTGTTGACCTCTTCACAACCCACCTGCAACTTATATCTCCAGTCCAGCAATTAAGGATATTTTGTGCAGGTAATAGTGTGTGCTTTTTTATTGAATCTTTGCTTAGCACAGTTACTTATTCTACAGGCATCATTTGTGAATCCTTGATGGAAGATTGAAGGTTTAAAATGAAGTACAAAAGCTTCTGTTTACCTAAAGGTGATCCTTCTGTTTGGAACCTAAGTTGTGATTTCAGAAAATCATTTGATCATTCCTTCCATTGTGTGCTGTTTTCTGGAGGAGAGACGGCAGTTTCTAGGAGTTTAAATGAGTACCAGTTTCCTGTCTTGAAAAATTATAAAATTGTAACTAAAACAATATAAAGAGAGCTTTAGGCTGGGCATACAGAAGTCTTTAGCAAAGCATATTTTCAAGCTTTCGTAAACCAGGTAAATGATGGTAAATGTTAGGTATGTAAATATATCTATATTCCAGATACCCTAATGAACCAAAGTCATTCACTACAATAGCCTAACTTATGAAGCCCTGTTTCTCAAATTAAACAATTTCCATTTCCAGCTACTGTGAACAGAAGTGAAAGTGAAGACATGCCAATTTTCAAATTGAAATTGAAATTACTGAGAAATCATATAGAAAAATAAGATTATAATCTGTAATAGAAAGTAATTGCTTGCATGTTCTTGATGACAAGCAAACACCTATAATAATTTTTCAGGTTTCTTGGGAAACCTGAAATAGGAGAATACAAGGTAGGAAGAAGCATGTTGCAAGATTGGTTAGCATCAATGCCTTGTTATCAGTTAGGTATAACAAATATATGCATTTTTTTACAGCTAATGACAGGTATGTTTCAGAACTAGGATGTTTGATAAGGATAAAATGTGGTATTCAGTAAACTTGACTCAGTTTTTCTTAATTGTCAGAGCAGTTGAATAAACCTATTCTCAGTGTTCTGAAGATCTGAGTTCAGAGAGACATGCTTTCAGATTTTTGTGTGGCAGCTAAGTAAAAGAGCTAGAGTGGAGAACAACATTGAATATTCCACCTATACTCAGGAGATTAGAGTATATTTGTTGTACAGCAGATGGCATCATGAGTTCAAGAATAGTGAATGAGCATTCTTGTAAGAGTTGTGATATTTTTAGCATTAATTCCATGCCTAGTAGATGGAAAATGCTTCTGTGCAGCACTTTCTTATAATTAGTTCCAATATTTGTATTATTTTTTGAGATCCTTTTTAATACATTTTGTCTTGTCTTTAACAGAAACAGGAATTAAACGTTTTTAAAACACTAGTTTAAGGTGTTTTAAGGGTTGTGCAAAGTTTCCCTTTTAAAATAGAAACAATTAGGTATCCAAGGATGAGGCTGTTTTAGCAAAATGAAATTGGTATACTCAGCAGTGTGCCATGGTATTCTCATTTTGAGCCTGTTTATTTTTCTATGGATCACCTGGGATGAATTTGGAGCCTTTCTATTTCAGACTTTTCTGCTGTATTCCACACAGCAAACTGTGTAGATTATGTTATTAAGGCCCATATTTTCCTAGCTGTTTCCTTGTCGCCCTCTAGCAGTTCCATCACTTCTTTTTTTTTATTATTTTAAGGTTGTTTTTTTTCCCAGTTTAGTCTCTCTAGCGGCCATACTGTTACAGAGGAATTTTGTTTCTGTCTTAGTTTTTATTCTTTTTTTAAGCTGAAAAAAATAATTATTTTTAAGATAGAAAGGTTAAAACAATAAAGTTAAAATACTTAATACTTTTGTTTCAGTTGTGTGTGTGTGTGTGTGTATATGTATATATGTATGTATGTAAGATAGAGAAAACTGAATGTAGAAACGTTTCATCTATCTGATTGCCTTTCAATGAGATATGACTAAAAACCATAGAAAGAGAAATCACTTCAAGAAGCATGTACTAGTGGAAATGGCAACAAATCCTTAGTTAAAGTACTCGACAAGTACCTCTCATTTCTGCAGCATTAGAAACATAGAAGACCACCAGGTTACATGTAGAGATAACCAGGGGAAATAAGTCTGCCATGTGTTATGATTCCTGTGTTATATACACTGCAAGAAAAATAAGTTTAATTTTTTTTTAAAATGTATTTACTTTAGTTCGTGTCCTGTAACTGCACTGTAAATATACAATTAAATCAAACCCCTCTTAACAAGATGAAGCACTGTAAGGAAACAAGGGGTCTTCAACATTGAAAAGTTTTCCTGTATTGGTCATACAAAATGTTTGTGCAAGAACACAAATTAAATGAGAAAATTTGTATAGTACTGGATGTTGAAGGAAGCCAAGTGTGTCTTATGATAGTGGTTCATTTCTTCCTATGGGGAGCAGTATACTATAAAGATTGCAGTTGCAAATATGTTGCCCAAAATAATGTGTCAGGAAATGCTGATTGCACAGCTTAGTTTCTTTATGTGGTTTGAGGTCCAGATTTTCTTGTAAATTAAGCCTTTTTTGAAATAATTTTCTAAACTTGTTTCGTACATATACATGTAAATATTTTCATTGATACAATGGAGATAACCATGAAAAATACCAACTAAATTTCAAAAATCCTGCTGACTAGGACAAACAGTACTTATTCACATATAAGCCTATGTATTAAGATTCTTAAATTCAACAGTTTATTGTGGTAGAAGGTGATATGTAATACATTTCATTCCACCAGTTTTGTAATATTTGTTTGATGACAAGTCTGTAGATAGAAACTCTTGTTTAATAATTGATTCAGAAGCCCAGTTTTTATTTGGATACTCTGCCCAGTTTTTTCTTCTGGATACTCTGCCCACTATATACTTGGAAAAGTAGTGTTACATGATGAAATACCAATATACTAGAATAACACATCAAAAATGGACTTACCACTTCCCTGTCTTTTCTGGTAGTGTAATTCTCAGGGGCTCAAAGGCTTCTCTAAAACTCCCCTACAAAGTGATATCATAGAAACTTAAGTTTTTAAAGTCATGTACATATTCTTCTTTTGTACCTGTGTTCACAAATTAACTTTTCATCCATTGTTACACTAATTATTTCAGGGAAGTTAATGAGAATGTAACCAGAGGATCCTGCATTTCAAAAACACCTTTTTGTTGTTAGCGTTTATTTAGAAACATGATTTTTTTCCTTCTCTTTAGGAGTGTGGCATAATTTTGTTCTCGGTGTTGCAAGTTTCATTGTTCTGTTTCTGCTGCCAGCCATTCTTTTCCCTTTCTATTACACGGGTGTTGGGGCACTTGTCACTGAGGTTGCCGAGGTAAGAAAAGATCTTTACTATTTTCATATTATATGCTTTGTAACCTGTGTCTCCTATTGTCAATCAAATTTGGTCAGTGCAGCACTCTGCGGAATCTAATATATTGCACTTTTTGTCTGCTTAAAGTTTCCTTCTCAATGTCATGTATTTTAGTATTAGTAAATGGAGGAACAGTAATGGAATGAATAATTATAGACTATTCAGCGTATTATAAAACTGTTTAGACATTTCAGATGAGTTTGCAGGCTTATTTTGGGGGGCGGGGGAATTAACTTATTTTCAATATTGGCACCAAGTAAATCTACTGGAAACGGCAGTATCATTCTAGTTAGTGCTATCTGGTTTTAATGTTAAAGATTATTTTGAGCCAATTTCCTTGCTTGTTTGGTCAGCTGGAAGCAAAGTAGAGATAGACTGCTGAGTTTCTGGAAAGGACTGATTTTTTTCTGACTTAATCAAATACAGCACAGTTGTAAAGCTGAAAGGAGCTGAAAGGATTCAGTCTTTCTTGGATCTAAAAGTGAACTGGTATAACTCAGGAGGAGAGTGATATTTATTATGCTTTATACCTTCAAAAGTATAGGTACACCCTGCTTTGTTGAAAGATTCAGGGTATCAATTTAAGCTTCTTGAACTTAAAATGGTAGGAAAACCCACAACATATTTACTTATATGAAGATAATTACTCAAATATGGAGAGGTCCCCTGGAACACTTAAGATTTGCCTCCTCTCCTCTCCTCTCCTCTCCTCTCCTCTCCTCATTATTTGTAGAAGATGTTGGCTTTGTAATGCTCTATCATAAATTGAAATAATCAGTTGTAGTGGAGCCTGAGATTTTCTCTTTCTCTGGAAATAGTGTCTTAACTTAAAGATTTTGTGGCTATTTGGCAGAACTGTAAACAAATCCTTGTAGTTTTAACTATAACAACTTCACTGTTTCTTCTCAGGATTCTCCTGCCAATGGACCAAAAGGTCTTTTTGTGGGAGACCTCGTGACTAACCTACAAGACTGCCCAGTCTATAGTGTGGAAGACTGGAATTCCTGTCTGGAAGACATTTCAGAGAAGTCACAGGTTGGCTACTGTATAAGTGCAGCCACCCTACAGCAATTAAGCTTTCCAGCTAGAGGTATGACTTTAAGTGCTTGCTTCATTATTTTATGTTGTAATTTTATCATGTCTTAAAGACTATTTTGGATTTAGGATTTGTTGGTGAGGGCAGATTTCTCATAAGTCGAGTCTGCCATCCTGTCTTAAGCAGTGACCAATATACCATTCATTTTTGTGAAATCTGTAAGTAACGAAGAGGTAGGTAGAAGATACAAGAATTTCGCTGGTCTTCCAGTCATCCTATACAAATATCCTGTATGATCTGGGTAAGGAAATTTGCCTCTTCAGGATATTGGATAGCTTGGTTATTAGCAGTAATACAATTATTTCCTCTATTTTTAGTTAAATTATATGGATCAACTCAGTGATCTTTTGCAGTCGTAAAATCCACGCATTACCTTCCTGCTTTGATTAGCATGACATTACAAATTGTACCGCTTAACCCAATGATGTGCTTTATTATGGCCACTTCTTCTCACGTGTCTCACTATATGGGTTTTATGTTTCATTTGCTCCTTCAACCTCACAGTGTCATTGCTCATAAACTTAGTTTTGTCTGAATTGCACATATTGTTTCTAGAAGTCCTATTTCCTTCTGTTTTCATTTATACATTAGGGTGCCTGTTGCTATAATGGCTTACCACTGAGAAACAAAAAAATGTGAACTGAACTAAACTAGAACAATAAACAAAAATTAAGTGGAACAAAAAAGAACAGTCAATTAAATTGGCTGAAGGTCTTGTCACACGCCCTAAAGCTCTCTAGAGTTTGTTTCATGCGAGCATACATGGAGACTGAATTCCAAGGGTAAGGGGGGCTGCTGCTGAGCAAAACCTATATTATGCTATTCAGAGCTTTAAAATTGTCACTGCATTTTACTGTCATACTGGAAGTTAAAAGGGGGTCAGGCAGCTCAACTACCCATGTTTTTTGATGCATTATAGTTCTCTTGTGGGACTGAAAAAGCAATTTATTTATTTTTCGTATGTAAGAAAAGTAATCTTACAAGTGGAACTAAGATAAATATTTAAACTGGAAATTAGAGGAATATGAGTAAGATCCTGCTTTTAGAGACCTAACAGTTTGGATTATCCCTCTGAAGGGGAGGGCAGCTTTGGCATATGCTTTCAGCTGTGCGGGGGTGACAAGTAAGAACCAATTCTTAGATGCTGTAGGTATATATGCTTAGATTCTGCTGTTCTTTGAAATGCAATTTCAGAGTCATGGATAATAAAACTGCATATTCTGCAACTGAACGGATCCTATTTAGATTTAAATACTAGAGACCTAATACTAGAGACTCAATAGTGCTTCCAAGCTTGGTTGCTGTATTGTGTTAGCAGCCCATTGTCCCACTGCTGCATTCTAATCAGACCAGTCTGTCTGCATTTTCAGAGCCATAAGCCTCCAGCAGTGAGAAATATTCCTCTGAAATTAAATGAACTCTGTTTGGTCTCTAGCAGCTGTCATTTGTCAAAATCTTGACAGTTCACAACTTGACATAAATACCAAATATCAATAAAAATGTATCTAGCAAATGGACCCTATCTCCTTTACCATAAAACAAACGGAGAGTAAAAAGTATTTTCAATGTAGTTTATAAGGAAGCTAATTTCATGGTCATTCACTATTCGAAAATATACGTGGTTCCTTAGCCTCAGGGTACTTGAAAAAAGGATTGTACGGTACAGTGCTTGCACCTGTAAGCCCCAGGTATAAAGCTCCATGTTAGTGGACTGCAGGTTATGCAGTGAGAAATCAGCAACGAGTATCACAGGCTTGATCTACCTAAGGAAGGTATGGCAGTGTTGCTGTGACACAGATTCTTACAGTGACTATTCTTTTGTGGGGGTTTTTTAAAGCTGTTGTTGCAGAGTAAGTTAGCTTTAATTTGTTTAAAGAACATCTGTACAAAGATTCTGTACCAGACCAGTTAAATCACGGTTTAAAACAACGTTTATTCACTGCTGCAGCCTTCAAGGCTTGGAAAGCTTTCAAAACCTGAATACTTGTAAAGGCTTTCACGTATTTAAGAGGACATTTTGAGTCTTGGTCATTTCCATAGCCAGCCAGTGAAACCAGTACAGTAGCAGGTATCAAATTTCTATGCCAAACCTTAATGCAAGGTGGGGGCAATGGATAAAAGTATTTTGTAACTCGTACTGCTCAGAACATTGCAGTGGTAGATCCCCAGTATATCAAGGAGATTTATTAAGATGAAAAAATCAGTATGTGATGTGACTGAAATCAGATGACATTCACACATACAAGTGGTGAAGCTTATTTTTAGTTGTCACTGAATCACAGTTAGGCTCTGTGAATTTCTATAATTCTTGAAGGCTATAGAATGATTGTTTTATTTTATCCAGAGACTAATTTCTTCTCAGGAAGTTACTGTAATATTGGTTATTTGCTCTATGCTTGTGTTCTTTAGTCTACAGAAGACTGGATGGCACAGTTGAGTGTTGTAGTAACAACAGCCTCACAGACATTTGCTTTTCATATAGCAATAACGTGGACAGCCACCTGGTAAGTTACTCAAACTGCTAATTCTGTTTGGTAAACCTGAAATTGTTTCAATTAAATTAGTAATATATGCCAACATTTATGCTCAAGTGCTTAAGAATACCTACAGTTTGTAATAAAAGTGTATGTGTATGTTGTTCTCCCCATTTACAGCTTAAAAAACCCAAAATATTAGTTATGATTTTTCCCATGATCACCTGAGCAGTCAGGGAGTCTCTGGAAGAACCAGAAAAGATCTTAAACCCCTCATGCCTTTAGACAGAGACACCTCCCTCATTTTCACCACTGAATGTAGAATATTGATGAGAGAAAACAGCGTTTGAAAACAAGGTGAAATTGCTTATTTTGGTGCTTCAGTCTTTAAAGGTACTGAGCACTACAGGCAAGGCAAAGTAAAGCACTGGACTGTATGTTCAGTTATTTTGTCTGAAGCCAGCAGTGCTGCTCACTAGGTTAAACTAAAAACATGCAAGAGAAGGTCCTAGAGATTGCCCAGTGTCTCAAAATTAGGGCTCTATTTGATTCCTTTTTCACCATGTTGATTTTCTTGTAACATGTGGAAACGTATAGAGTTTCTCAGTAGGATCTTGACTTACTCTTTTCAAAATACAGAAATGTTTATTAAAATATGTGATCCATATTGACAGTGATGGAATATTTCTAAAAGTTCTCTTCACAAGAAAAAGAGCACAAGTACCAACTGTGTAAACTTTTCTACACATACCAGTTTGTTATTGTTCTGACCTCTAGTGTTAAATACCTAGAGAACTGGAAATGAGTCTGTTCCTCATCTGCTATGTTTACAGTTTCTACAATGGTAAATTTCCTGCTTCAGGGTGATTTTGTGGTATTTAAACACTAAGAATTGAGCACAGATCAGCAGTTCATTTGAAAGATGACAGTGGCTGGTAACATGCTGGAGTTCAGCAAGATTTGATAAATCACTGCCCCACTGAGCTTTGACATTCTTAAGCTCATAGCTGCTACTTAGGAACAGAGAAGAAATAAAAGCATCCAGAAGCCTGTGACCTTCAAGTGTCCTTAGATTGGCTCTGAGTTTCTGAACAATTATTTTAAATAGTCCTTGCAGTGCTATGCAGCAGTGTTTGGAAAGTGTGCCCTCTCCCCCTCCTTGAAATAGGAAGAGCTTGTATTGAGTTTAATGGAGAGTGTCTTGACATTCATGCATCTATGGGGACTGTAACTATCAAGCTAAGAAGAAAGAAAATCTTTTTTGTTTGTTTGTTTCTTTCTTCCTTAGGCAAACAGTAGATGAAGAACTTTCCTTGCTTATGTTTAAGAAAAAAATAAAAATTATCGCTGAGCTTTTATGAGAGACATGAGGGGGAGAAACAATTTTCTGTTCCTTTCTGCTATACTCTTTTTGGCCTGTTGGGAGCAAGAAAGATCTGGTCTTTCAGTCTGCTGAGTGAGTGTTATAGGTAGGACTTGGGACACAGCACTGCACTAAGTCCTGTGTTCATCTTAGAACTAAGTCAGTTCATTTGGTTTCTTAGCTATCACACAACCAGTAGGTTTTTTGGTTTGTTTGCTGAACATAAGGCTTTGTTCAGCCAAATGAGGGTTTAGATAATGAAGACTAAAACTTCTTAAACAGGTAAGTCACTAGTATGTTGATGCAGGCACTGTTCATTAGAAATCACTGACTTATGGTTAGATGCTTTGATTTCTTTTGTGCGTATGTGTACCTCTTTAAAAATAGTTAGCTTTTATTTTGGTACATGTGCACACCCGGTCTTCCACATTCCACCAAAATTGAATGACAGGCTGAATATCTATCAGATAGAGGTTCTGCAGGATTTGACTAAAAAACCCCAATAAATCAGATTTCAGCTCTTCATGGGCTGGTAGTATATCAGTGCAGCATTTCCTTTGCTTTAAAAAGGAATATGTAGTACCTTCTTTCTGATCTGTTGGAAAATACCTTTAAATTTGATAATCATTTGAAATGCCTTTTGCAGTATGCCTGTCTGCCAGCACGAAAAGTTATTGAGGCCAGCAAAGTTTGTCGAACCAACGTGGACTGCCAGAAGGACTTTGTTCCAAGCTTTTGTGTGACTCCTTCTTTAGAGAACCAGACAAGACTAATCAGGGTAAAACATCCACCCCATATTGACATGCTGTATGTAGGACATCCCATGCACCTTCAGTACACAGGTTGGTATTATTTATTAAAACAGTTTAACAAAAAAGATTTCTAATATGGTTTACTTTGCCTGGCTGCTTGAACAAGGTCTTGGAGCACTTGTCAGTTAACTTGTTTAATGCAGAATCCATTTCTTGTTACAGCCAGTGGAGAGACATGGACTACTCAGGCCTAAAATGAAATGTGCACAGTGCAATGAGTTACGAAGGTAATAGAAACCATATGCGATATGAGACAGTTGTCTTTTTCAGAAAAGTATGAAAGGGCTATTTCTATAACAGATCTCACTCAGGTTAGTCATGGCAACCAGGCACCTGCATTTTCCTAACATGTAAACTTCTCAAAATGCTATTGTAAAATCTCTAGGGCATCTTGCTCTAACACCTTGCCTGGAATATTAGCACAACTGTTTAAATCACACCTAATACCCAAGTATCTGTGACAGATTCCCATGACTGCTGAGCCACAAGTACAGTTACAACATAGGATTTTTACTGATTTTTTTTTATTTGAAAATAAATGTGCCCTAAATTAAATAACATACAAGAGCTTAGTTCCTTACTTTGAAATGGACTATGGCTCTCCTTTGGGCAAGCTTATATGTTTGATCCAGGTACACAAGTGAAAAATAATTCTGCTCTTGGAGCAAATATGAAAAGAATGAACAAACTCATCTAAATTCCTAGTTAGTGGCTTGAGTGACATGGTGAAAATGAGCTTCAGATGGGCTTAAAAAAGTATGAAGTGTAAAACTCCTGTCCCTTCCTGTGCGGAAGTTGTCTGTTCCTCAGAGATGGATATACCTCACAGGGGGAGATTCTACTTTAGATGTCATGAAGTACCTCCTTAGCAAGGCATTGCACTTGTCCGAATAAGCACTGGGATTAGGTACAAAAGAGCTTTGGAAACGGTGATGAAATCTGGTAGTGTAATCCATTAGCATTCTTGCATAAATGTATTTTTAGTTAAACTGTCAGTCTTTATCTTTCTGTGCTGGTCATATTTGAGCACTCCGTGGCAAATTATTTATTTCTACTTGTTTACACTGTACCCCCATTTAAGCCAAAAATAGGATCACTTCACGACTTATTTCTGCCATCTTGCCGTTTAGGAGGAAAAATGTTGTTCACCTGTGTGATCCCAATACACAGTTCTGTATTTGATGACATCTATTCCAAATGCAGCGACAAATTTTAAGAATAGTGTTTGATAATTATTTTAAGGTCCCTTTCTTGGTCTCTAACAATACAAACAGTAGGTACTGTAGAACAATTGGTATTGTTCTCTTTTCCAATATGTTGGAGCAATGGAGTTTTAGTCAGTGTTTCCCACTGAATGCTAATTCTGAAAAAAATCGGAAGCCGTCAGTCTTTCAGAAGTTGGAAAAGAATGTTATTGCATCTAAGGAGGTAGTTCTACTTTAAGAAGTTACTGTGTGAAAATACAATTTACAGGAGTATAATTCTAAAGTGATTTACTGGACCCTGGGAGTCGCACATTGAATGTGCTAATTTGAAAGCTAAAAGCTTGACTTTATCACAAACTTTGCTGCAAATGCAAACTATGCTCCCCTTGGAAAAACATCAGAGCTAAAATTAGAGGATCCTGACTTGGGCAGCAGGTAGCCTCCTGTACCATTGTAGAGTTCCGTGCGTTCCAATGAAACAACTTCTAAATATTTCAAACTTAACTTCGCACTGTGCAATGCTGGCTTGGGGCCAACAGGTTTGATTTTTTTCCAAATGTGACTGATCAGAATGTGTTAACCGGTTTTGTTGGTTTTTTTGTTTTTTTTTTTTACAGTCCTCTACTGTGTGACTTTTGAAATAGGAATACATTTTAGTGAAATGCCTTGTTCTTTACTATGATCTTTCTGCCTGCAGGAAACATTATTTTTAGAGTAGTGCCACGTTTAACACACAACCTGGTATGGGAGTTGTAGTAGTGTGTACTATAGCTTTACTTTCTCTAGCAATGTCACCAAAGCAATTTTGAAAAACATTCTAAGATTATGCATGTATTATTTTCTACTTAGGCTTGTACTGTTGTCATGATAGTCTTGGTTTATGAAGAAGCAGTAATTATTTCATACTTTCATTTGAAGCTAGCTTCCAGATAAAATTTAAAAAAAAATGTATATCCATATTAGGTATTCACAAGGAAAAGGCTATACAGCCTACTTCATTAAAATGTTTCTGTTTCCTCAAAATAAAATATACTAGCAAAAATATTTTTTGTTGATATGGACACTAGATATTGCTCTTGTTTCCAGTATAAAAAAAAACCAAAACCTTAACGAATCGTACTCCTAAATGAACTTACAGTGCTGGAGATTTGGCCAAAACTAAATCAGAAAGAATGATTAGGAATGCATGTTGTTTAGGATGGACACATTGATTAATCCTTTTAATTAGCATTCTCTCTGTAAAAAGTATCTAATGTAATCCAATATAAATTCATACTGTGGGTTTAGTTCACGTGGTATTACTCAAGACTTTTAGACTTTTCTTATTGCAGGCCAGTTATGCTCTAGAGGCTATCGCTATGTTGGACAGATGATGAGTAAGGTTGAAATGGAGAGCCCTTTCATTATTGCCATGCAACTTTGCCGTGTTTCTCCTTTATTTTGTAAGCATTTTTTTATTCCGTCATGTCATTCTGGTATTGCACAATCTTGGCCTCCTTCTCTGGCCCATGTTGGTTGGGAAGAATCTGGTGACTAACATTCACGTTTGGAATTCACATTGCTTGAGGGAAGATCACATCCCTGAATATTACTCTGTCTGCATCACCCATCAGGGATCAAAACCTGCAAGACTTCCTTCATGAAAAGAAGATGGAACTTACCAAAGCCACTTCCTAGCTTCGGGGACTTTTTTGGGCAACCACAGCTATAATCCCCGATTAAGGTCTGTCTGTTTCTGGTTTCTCAGAATTTCCATGCTTGTTTCCCCTTATTGCTGAGGATGAGCCTTCTTTGCTTTCAACCCATGTTTAAAGGGTTACACATACAGTTCTTCTGGAAAACACACAGAAATATCTCATGCCATACTGTCTCTTTCCTCCATAGCATACATGCACTTTCCCCCATGAAGAGGTTTTGAAAAGCTGTTTGGTGAACCCAGTCTCCAAATCACTTCTAATTAAAATTGTGTCCAGTGTGATTCTTCTCAGTATTTGCCAACACCATCTAGCCTTAGCCAACAAAAAAAATGTTAATTCCAGGTCAAAGAATTGTTTAATTAGAGTGGGAAAGCAATGACTGTTTTCTCTCACCCAGCCTCATTGCTGTTCGTCTTTTCTCATCAGTGTCTTTGAAGACAAGCCTGGAGAACATAATTTCTGTAATTCTTTGCTTTTTCCTCGAAAGACAGATTTGCCTGTTGCCATTAGGTTTGATCCATTACAGCCACTAAATTCATTGCCTGATATTACAGTGTCTGGAGCTCAGTCCAACAACTTCCTGAAGAGTTTCTTTGTGTTTTGGAGATTGCTTCAGCAGTAAGGTTTGGAGTTTAGATCCAGGTCTAGTGGCTGTCGGGGACAGCGGACAGTTTGTTGTAACAAAGAGGGAAGGAGAGTAGTAATCCATTCTGAATGTAGGCACAACTTCAGGTTCAGCATGACGACTTGTTAGTGGCCACTAGGGGTTTGTCAAGGGGCAGTCAAGCTTTGAAATTACACTATATTGAAGTGTGTGTGTTTTGAAACCTTTGAATACACTGGCTGCCTCAGCCATTTTGCTGTTTTGGCTTATGAACAAGAGGTCTGATCAGATGTTCTGATACCAGCCTTCAGCTTGATGAGTTGTTTGCTTTGGATATCACTTGACTTGGATGCCTCTGACTTTCCGAGCTGGGTGGTGTCCAAGACTTCTGTCTCTTGTGTTCTTCACTCAGTAGTCCAACAGACTTTCTCATTTTCTCTCCGTTTCCCTAAATCAAAGGTCTTTCTTAAGCTAAGGTAAGAGAGAACATGATTTTCAAGTTGTCCTGGCACAGCCGTGGCAGTTTTGGTATTGGAAAGTTCTCTGCTTGTTGCCACACCAAAATTGTTCCTTTTTTGGGACTCCTTGCTATCCAAATCTCTCCACTCCATCCTGTGCTTGTGGGTTGTACTAATTATCCCTTCTGACTCATCAGGAAGGCATCTATTAACAGAAGAAAATGTGTTTGTGTGACTGAGTGGACCACTTCTCTGCCTCATGTGCCTTTGGAACTGTTTTCCCCTCATTTTTGTTCCGGTGTCCTTGAATTGTTTATTGAACCTGAAGAAATCTGATCTCACTCTTAACTAAGATATACTTAGCAGCACTTTTGGTATGTTATGTACTAGCGCTGAGGTTTCCAGTGTTCTCTTAGCCTATGGTTTTAAAATTTCTCAAAGGGTGGGTTAAATTGTTCCTTTTCCAAGGGGTCTTTTTATTGAGTGGGATTTGAACTCTTGCTTTCACCTCTCTCTGTGGAGACGGTATTTCTTATGGCTATAGGTTTTTCTCAGGTTCGTAGGGAAAATTCAGGCCATTGTGGCTGGCCTCAGCTCGTGTCCAGAGTTGTTCTTTAGGGACAGAGTGACTATTATTGATACTTTGCAAGCTCATTCTTAAGGTGGTTTTCTAATTCTGCCTTAATTTACCTAAACCTCTTCCTTCTGGGGATAAGAGTCCACTATGCTATGAGTGGAGCTTTCTAGTAGGAAAGGTATCTCTCTTCCAGCTATCACAGAACTAAGGCTTTCAAACAGTCCTTGAGGCTGGCAGACTGAGACTGCTGTTTACTTTGAAAGACTACATCAAGACTTTTTATGAGACAACTCAGATGGAGCATCCCTGTACTAACAGTGCACTCTGGGAGGTCTCAAGCTACCTCAGTTTTCTTTGAGGAGTCTCTCATAAACATTTGACATGCAGTCAGCTGAAGTTTCATGTACACGTTCAAAGGAGTCACAGTACTGAAGAAGTGTTTCAAGGTCATGTGGTGCTTGACACTGAAATTTTCCAGTCGCTATTTATATGAAGGATGCTGTGTCCCACCTCCCAGGTTTTTAAGTTGCACTAAGTTACATCTTAGAGTCACTTATGGTATCATTTGAAGACAGAAGAAGAAGCTACTTATGTACTGGCTGACTGGTGTTAAGATGTGTAATGCACCCATGCACCATCTCCTAGCCTTTGCTTTCTCAGAGTGATTCTAGAACTCTGCTCCCTATCTGCTCCACTCCTATATACCATGAACTCAGCCTCAGGACAGGGGTATCTTCTGCAGGTACTGCAAGAAAAGAATTTTCTAGCCTTGAGAGAAAGTACCCATACATGTGAACCCACAGTTTGAATGTATACATGTGGACTGCATATGTTGAAAAAGTCTGGTAACTATAATTTCTTTTTATATGTTTTTCTTTGAAAAGGACTTAAATTACACAATGTGGTCTTTATGACTACAGATGTCCAGTTGCCTCTGAAAGTATGTATCTTAGATCTACTTTTACTGAAATCACACTGACTGTATTTTGTGGAGTGACTTTACTATGATAGGGACCATGTTTAAGAAAGATTTAAAGGCTGCAGTCTTTTAAAAACACAGACCAAGCAAATCCATATTTATGTTGGTTATTCATCCTTGAAGAAATGTAGTTTCAAACCTGATTTTTCTGCAAAATTATAATCTAAAATTCATAATGTTATAATCCTGGAATGACTGTTCATGTGTTGTGTATCTTTATATTTTCGTTTCAGTAAGCCTCAGCAGTTTTGTACCACGACAAAACTTTCTAAGCATCGATCTGCCTGTGATGATAGAGACATTTTGCAAGTATCCTTTGAAGTATGCTTGTTCTTTTAAGGCAAGAAGGGAAGTGTTTAGAATTTGATGACCCAGCAAAATTTCAGCTGGATATCATTTTAGACAGGGTGCTCTGAAACATTTCTGTAGCATTTAACATCTTTATCCTATCTCTGCATTGATTATTGTCCACGTGCCAAGCTCAAAATGAAATCTCACACTTTCTTGTGCTTAGCAGGATATTTTTGGTCAGTGTTTTTTTAACTCTTTCTTGAGGGTGAGTCTTAGCAGCTCTGACAAGAAAGTAAAAGTAATCCTGAATTTATGGCAGGACAAATGAGATGTTATTGCTAGCTTTGTTATATCCGAGTTTTACCATTTTTGAGTCATTATGCTGAACTAAATAACAAGGTAGGGTTGTTGGGGTTTTTTTCCTTCAACAGAAAAGAAAACAACCTATTCAAAAAGCAGGATTATAATTAGGGTTAAACATGCTTATTAATGAACAAGATTATATATATTCATATACATACATGTTAGTAGGCTTAAATATGGCTAATATAAGAACCCTTAGCCTTAAAAACTGAGATGTTTATGTGTGGCTGTAGAACAATTAAACAGTGGAGTTCAGATTTGTCCATAAAACTAGTGTAAAGATGCTACATAAGCTTCCCTTTTCTGGCAACACACCAAGGTTCACACTGACCCAGCTGTTTTCTGAATCATACGTCTTATTGTCCGGCCATTGTAGGATGGAGGTAAGTAGTAATGTTAGCAGGACTTTGCCAACAATAAGAATTATCTACCCTTCCCTCATTCTCACATGCACGTGCATGTACAGAAATCCACTGAACTTTGCTGGCCAGCAGGTAAGTAGGAGAGAGAGGCCAAATTTCCAATTATATTCTAGCCATTTACTTACTCCAGCAAGGGAGTGTTTTGGAAAATATTGCCAGTCATTATTTCATACTTAAGTCATAGGTCTAGAATACCTTCTTACTTCAGGCATGGTGTCAGAGCTATAACCTTGCTCCAAAACCGCACAAAGCAAGGGAGGAAGATGAGCAGTATTAAGTGTAGTTTTGCTGTCTCGTGCTTTCATCTGAGTTGTGAAGAGTGCAGATTGTTTAAGTATCCAAACCTAGTCCCTAAAAAAAACAAAGAATCTATAATGGCAGTTCTCTGAGTTGGTACGTTATGGTGTAAAAATCATTGTACTCATATAATTTCCATGTAACAGAATGGTAGCTAAAAAAAACCCCACCCTTATATGTTTATGTATGCTAGAAATAAAAAAAAAATATGTTTTGTTTTTGTTGGTGTTTTTTTTTCCGTTTTCTTGGATATTATTCATGAACCTTAACTAATATCAACCAGGTACCTGATTTCACTGTCAGGAGCACTGGCAGTTATCAATGCTGTACCCTGCTTTGCTTTGGATGGTCAGTGGATATTAAATTCATTCCTGGAAGCCACTCTGAGCTCCCTGATTGTAGAAAAACAAAGCAGAGAGCTTGTTGGCTTTTTAATTTTGCTTGCTGGTAGTGCACTATTGGCTGCCAATGTTGCACTGGGACTTTGGATGGTGACAGCACGGTAGAACATAGGATTCTCTTCCATCAGTTCTCAAAGTACACAAATAATGAATCCATTGCCTTTTAAAACTTGTTCAGTATTGAGATTGAAATAATTCCCTTAAAATGACACTGAAAGAACAATCACTGATGGATGCTGTTTTAATTTAAATCTGTACAATGTTGTGACTGTGGTCATGAGAAAACTAATAGAAAGAAGTAGGAACCTTTTCATATACTCTTTAAGCACTGTACTAATCTTGGATAAATTCCATTGTAAAGTTTCACATGAAAAAGCCTAAGACTTCATTAACTTAGATCTCAAAATAAGGGAATTATTTGGCCTCAAACATTTGTAAAGCGGGAGAAAAAAACACTTAGGTTTTATTGTCTAATTTGAGGAATTGTCAGAAAATCGTGTGTTGGCTCTGATCATTTCTCAGTCAGCATAGTCTTGAGTGTCTTGTTTGGGTTTTTTAATCTAGTGTTCTACCAAATTGAACTCTAAGAAGCCCTAAGGTCTGATCTCAAAATGGTGAAAAGCTAAGAAAATTATTATCATGTGTTAATGAGGAGAGAGAGGCCATATGGGTTACTATCTTTCCTTTCAGCTGGCCAAAATGACTGGAAGCCTGTTGTCCTCAGGATGTATGTAAGAAGTGCCAATGTCTGTTAAGACTGAGGCATGTGGGGGGATAACAAAGCCCACGTGTCTGTGTTACTTATACATTCAGTTGTATACTATCATACGCAGCTGAAGATTTTTTAAAGGCAATATTTGTCAGCAATAGCCACTAGATAACTGAAATTTAGTTTCTGAGTGAAGTACGCTGTGCACAATTACTCCGAAGTGATAAGTAATGTTTGTGTTGTTTTACTCAGAAAAATAACAACTGTGTTGTACCTGTTTGCAGTTAAAAGTGAAACCTGTTGTTTTTATGGTGTCTGTCTTCTGATGCTATGCATGTAATATGTACAGTAACTCACTGATGGTTTTTTGTCTTTCAAAGGGTTGTTTACCTTTGCTAGCATTCATTCTGTTCAAAGATAGCTAACAAAGATGTTTAGCTGAAGCTGGTCTTGGATCAGAATTGTTTGGAGGAAGAATATGATTGTGGATTGAATTATTTAAACATTTGGCTTTGCTTTCTGAAGTGAATACAGACCATATCCTCCTTCTGAAACAAACAGTGGAAGAATAGTTGGTGTTTTGCTGACTAAAGTATGTCTGTCATACTTTGAAGCTTTTTAAATCTGTAATATTTTGTACCCAATAGGATTATATATTGACCGTCATACCCTCCTGTGATATATTGCTTAGTTTATATGAATCGGGTTCATTCAGCTGCTTGCCTCAATATAGGCTGATATTAAAAATAAATTGCTCTAGTTTGGGAGCCTAAATATTTGAAATAGGGATATTCTGAAAAATACCCTGCAACTTCTGTCTTGTACAGTGCTCCCCATAGGAGCTGCTGCAGCTCCGAGTTCCTTTACAGAAAGGGCGTTTCCATAAGGAACTGAAGTGGAAGCAAAGCTCATGGATACTGGCCTTGCAGGGAGCACTGAAGCACTGATGGCCAGCTACCATAGATTCTCTTGGCACTAGAGGTAAAAGCCTGGGTAATTTCAAAAGCAGGGCTGAGCCCAATTCCTTGTGCTACTGCATGGATTCGTAACTATAATGTTTGCATTTGCCACTGATATGCTACTGTATTTTGCACAGTAGCCTTCACGCTTACTTAAGATATATTCTTTTCTTATGATGATGCAAGCGGTAATGAAAGATCATGTTTGTTTATTTGTTGTTGTGTTAGTTTACTTACCTCTCCAGTGCTGTCACAGGCTGGGTGGGCCTCTTGAAGTTCACCTCTGTGGGGTGGCAGGACCGTGCCTCTCATTTTCAATCATCTCAACTCAGGCATGTCGGCACAGATCCCAGTAAGAGACACTAAATCCTCCAGTCAATCCAGCATGAGTTGGTCCCTTTGGGGACTATTAAAAGTCACATGAAGTGCAAGAAAGAAAAAACAAACTATCAGAAACTGCCAGCGGGCTTCTCTTCCAGAGATGCCCTGAAGGTCTGACTCATCATCACTCCTGAAACGTATAGAGGTTTCAGGGTAGCAGTTCTGATGGGCCACTCTGCCATCTCTCCAGGGACAGGAGGGACAGGAGCAACCTGGTTCTTGCACAAAGCCTGGCTCTGAAGCTGTGCTCCAGAAGCCTGCTCACTCACCCAAGTGGCTGCTTGCTAATCTGAGCACTTCCTTTCAGTGCCACTGTGCCGCTTTCCTCTGTCTCTTGTCCAATCTACAGTGCACAAAATTAATTTGCACGTAGGAGTTTTAATGCAATTTAGTAAGACGGGATATTTACTTTTCAAAGCGGCTACTATTTCTTTATCAGAGTTGCAGTGATGTCTGATTAGCTAAAACAACAAATGCATCTATGGTGATTTCAAAAATATTCTGTGAAAAACATTTCAAGTTGACTACAACTGCTTGGGACAGTCTTTTAGCACAGTACCCCTCCTGGAGATGTAGGCAAGAGATTTAAATAAACCCAAAGTTTCTGACTTAACAGACACAAGTTACATCTGCTGTAATGAGGCTGGCAGGTTGTTCCTGGTTATTTAATGTGCTACCAAAACATAACGTCTTATCAAAGGAAACTAAATCCAGTTTATTTTACTTTACACAATCACTGAAAGCCACAGTTATACTAAGTAGAACTTCAGTCTGTGTTTGACCTCATAATCAAAAAGGGGGTGGAGAAGGCAATGGTCATGGTTTTAGTAAAACAGACACACTAGTGCGCTGTAAAGACCCTGGTTATCTTTTATAGGAGAGATGGTACTTAGAAGTGTTTAAAAATAATTCATGCGTCCATTTCTTTGTGTGCTGGAATCCTACTGAATAAGGGTCCGACTAAGGTATGTACAGGTGCTTTGAATCAAGGGGATATGAATGGTGACCCACCACATCTTAGACTACCCGTGGACAAGGGTAACCGTTAAGTTGGACCACTCTCTGGAGGAAAAAGTTGTTCAGTGGATCCATTTTATTCTCCTGTAATGGATTACGTTCTGATAAGCAAGTGCTGTACATACAGTGATTGGGAGGAGTTTTGCTGGGGTTTTGTTTGTTTGCTTAGCAAGAGAGAACACAGAAGGACACAGACTGGTTTTTTTGTGTGTTGGGTTTTTACTCTGGACTATTAACGATGTTTGTTGTATTTCTGGTTTTGTAAAAATTGAAAGGAAGTCTTTCCTTAAAAGGAAATCTTTCCACTTCTCTTTCTAATTAGCTCCTCGGAACGTAATGTAATAATACAGAATCCGTCAATATAATTATAGGGCATATTAACTGGAGTATAAAACAGAACACTCTTGAAGATTGAATGGATACTACTATTTATGTATATAGTGTGCATTTGAAATCTGTATCAGATGGAAAAAATAATGTCTAACATTGGGAAGTGTTATACGTAGCCTTTACTTGAAAATTGCCAGAATTATTCCATAACTATAATCAGTCATTGTTCTGATTTGGTTTTTATGAGAATTTTTTTTATATCACCATAGCATGTTCTGATAATCCATAATATGACATGAAATTGGCTAACTTCTTAATATGTAGGAAGTTACACGCTCTTTGCTAACTTAGGAAATAAAAAGCAGCTTGCTTCTGTACAAGCTAAATGAAAGAGACTTCATTAGAAAAAGTATAGACAAACTTGCAGATTAGTCAGACCAAACTTATGAGCCACGATGGAAAATCTGTTAATTCATCCTTTTTGTTTAGAATGAAACAAGCAACTGTCTTGGCAGTTATATTTTTCAGGGATGATGGTTCTGTGTTTGGTGTACATACTTATAATAAGACACATACACAGCCACAGTCTATATTGCTGCTTTTATAGGGATAACTGACAGCAGTCCTCCACACTCTGCAGTTTAGGCTTTTTTTTCCTTTTCTTTCTCTCTATGAATTCCATAGCTGTCTCTGGATTTTAAAATTGCAGCTATGTTTTTCTCCCATACTGATCTAACTCTTCTTTATTAACAGAAGACAAGTGATGGACGTAATGTAACCACAGCTGCATGAGTTTTGCTCAGCTGATGTTTAAAATACGTTTCTTGCTCTCTGTGAGGCCTCAGCTACAAGCATGGCAAACACAAATTTTTCAGGGCAACAAGAAGAAGTCCACCTTAGAATCCATCACTCTCTAAATCCGCTATTTGTGCTGTTCTGAATGATAACTGGGATGAGTGAGACTGTACAGATTATACTGAAGAAATAATGTTTGCAGGACAGACTTTCCCATGGCAGTCAGGATGTTTCGGCTTTCTTGAAATAAGGATATATTTTTGCTAAGTTTAGAACACCAAAAATCCAAGTTTTCTAATAAGTTTCCTATAGATTTTACTTGATGGCAAAAGGTGACCTGTGGCAAATAAGTTTTTAAATAAATTATTTATGCCTTTTATCTGAAAGATCTGATTTTGTATCTGGATATCATTTATGACAGATGAAGAAGGGTTATAAAGATTTATGTAGACTAGTCTGTATTTAATTATTTTAAAAAGATGTGAGTTAAACTCTAGAAATAAATAGTTATTTGTAAAATATGCATTCTATACACCTGCATTCAGACCAATTCCCACAACCAGTCTTGCCTCAACTTTGTTCTTGTGACCTTGTGAGTAAGGAAGCTGAATCTGACTCAGGTAAGATCCAATATTAGCAGTTATATTATATCCTTTTTATCCTGAACTTCATGTAACATTGTACATAGATCAGTTATTTAATGTGGCCGAGTTATCTGGGATACATATCCTGTATTAATGCAGCATTTGGGAAGTGTTGTGCTAGGGACTGCCAGAAAATGACTCTTTCTCGTTACTTGGACTCATCCACTATGATCATGCGAAGAGCAGATGGCAGCGACTAAGGGCAGTGAAGAACCTCAGTTTATGGCAGCTTTATGAAACCTTCACACTGCTGACCCAGCGTGAAAGGAC